TTTATTATTATAAACTATTTTTTGAATTATTTTTTTTGAGAATTGTTCTTTTAAAAGCAATTTCATTGGAATATATTGATTAATATAAATTTAATTTAAAAATAAACTACTTTAGATATATTTTTTTTATTTTTTTATGGACATAATTCTTTTTTAAGATTTTTTTTATTAATAGACTAACTTTTATACTATATAGTATTTTTTTATTTATATTATAGTAATATGTATAGAGTAATTAATTTTTAAAGATCTATTTACTATTATTAAATATAAGATTTATTTTATTTAATTTTATGGACCATACACAAAAAAGACGTTCGCAAGAAGTTTTTATACTTCTAAACTAATAAAGTCTTATCACTTTCTTTAAACCAACTTGAAGGAAACTTTAAGAGTCATTCCTATACCCCCTTCCTCTTGTTTTTTACTCCTCTTCAGGCAAAAACTTGACTGCAAGCGATCAAAAAATCAAGTAATACACTTTTTACCAATGGCAAGAAAGTTCTGAAAGGAAAAAAAACTAATGTACAGTCATCTCACACTGTAGAGAAGCAATACCGAATGTTGTTTGTGACAAGAGACTCCTCTTCCACTCTTTTTGTCATTGTTTGTACTCTAATAGTACTCGTTTCTAGGTTTTTCTGAGGAATTTTGTTTACCTCAGTTTGACCTGAATTTTGAGTAGCACAAAGTTTCTCACATTGTGATTTGACAGAAAATTTTACATTATTAAAAGATATAAACAAGCTTCCATTGGTCACTTCACATGTCTAAATACATTTCCTTAGTACTCATAAGAATCTGGGGTCCTCTATAAGTCATTTATCTATAGTGCGGGTAGATACCAACATAAAAACCTATGCCATCATTGGCTATACAGAAAGAATAGTACTGGATTAGAATACACTGGATAGAAAACAATAGCTTCTCACTTCTTCTCTCCTACTCCAGTAAACTAAAATCAGAAGAAAATGACCTCATGGAATAGGATCTTTTTAGGAGAGTTTTGAATACCTATTATTTCTTTTCTGGAAACATATCTGCCATCCTGTTAAAGAACAAAGTATCTCTCCATGAACAGTACTTTTTTTATTAAAATTTTTGATTAAGCGCTAGTGGAGGTTAAAGTTCCACATGGAGAATCCCCAACATCGGTGGTGATGGATACTTTAGGTGAATCCTTGGCACATTAACTCCCTTTTTTGGAAAAGCAATAAGCCGTCCAGTGGATTAAGGCCTATGCAGTGATTCTAGGAAGTGCCTACATGTAGAATAGAAAAGTAATATAGTCTGTACATCATTCTTCTTATTATTTTTTGCATTTTGTTGTTATAAGTAGTTATCTAAACTAGACGGTCATGTAATTATCTTATCCTGGTTGGGTGAGACATAAATAGTTAGCCTTTTGTACTATTTGTTGATCTGTAAATTCTTAGACAGTACAGGTAATTATTCATCCCAGTTGTTTCTAGATTGTTTACTTACCTTAATAAAATACATAGTACATGGGTGCAAGGATGAGCTGGTGTCTTAAAAAAAAAAATTTCATATCATTTTATAGATTTAACCTATTAAATATTTATAAATATATATGATAAACTCTTGATAAAAAAAATGTATATATTGTATGACAAATACTATATTTTGTCATAGTGAATGTCACATTTGAATAGGATTATCGTAAAAGAAACCCTAGATATAATTTCTATTTGATTTATCGAAATCATGTGAAATCACGTGATTATCATAGCTCCGATGAAAATTAATCTTTGCAAATTTTTAAAATTTATTTTTTTTTATATTCAATAATTTAATTTAAAACTTTATATAATTTTAAAGCTTAAATTTTATACTTTATAATAATTATTTAAAAATTTTTATTATAATTATTTTGGGGTTCAAAATCAATTTGGGGAATATGGATAATTATTATTCTTATATATATATGTACATTTTATATCTATCCATCAAATTCTCTTTTCAAAACTTTAACTCTATTTTTTAAAAAAATTTTCAATCAATTTACAAATAAAATGAGACACAATATTAGATTTCCTAAACATATCTTGAAAGGAGCTCAAAAACATGAACTATGTTTATTAAAACAAAAACATCCTGAACTTGAAAACAAATCTTTGGCTTGAAAATATAATATTAGTCTTAGTATAGTATCTAAAATTTTGAAAAATAGTGAACATTGACTTAATATTGATTTTAATTTTATTGAAGCCTCCCAAAAAAGAAAAAAAAGTTCTATGTATCCTTTGCTTAAAAAAGTATTAATAATTTGGGTTAATAATGCATTAAGTGTCAATTTAACTATTACTGGGTTTATTTTGATATACTAGGCTCAAAAATTTGTAAAACTATTAAATATTTCTGATTTTAATGCATCAGAAGAATGGTTAACAAATTTCAAAAAAGAGCCAACTTGAAGCAATTTGTGCACCATGGAGAAGGGGATAGTGCTTCTTTAGAAGAAATTTCCAAATTTAGAGAAACTTTACAAGATTTATTAAAAGACTGGCCTTTGAAAAATATATTTAATTGTAATAAAACTGGTCTTTATTGGAAAATAGAACCCTTAAGATCTCTTGTAAAAGAAGCAATCATGGGAAAGAAAAAAGACAAACAAAGAGTCACTATTCTTTTTTGTATGAATTTTACAGGTATTAAAAGATTATATTTTTTATAAAAATTTACATACTAATGTATTTATATTTATATATTTATTAGGTTCTATAAAAATAAACTTTTGGTGATTTATTATTTTAAATCACTTCAAATTTTGAACAAAATTAAGAGTGAAAACTTGCCAGTTAATTATTATTGAAATAAAACTGCCTGAATGACTATTATGATTTGGAATAAATTTTTAATTCATTTAAATAATCAAATGAAAGAAGAAAATAGATCCATTATTCTTCTTTATGACCAGGCACCTGATTATTGCAATGACAATAGTTTGAAATCAGAGGATTTGTCAAATATTACATTATATCCACTACTTGTTAACACAATTGCACATTTACAACCAATGGATGCAGGAATTATTTATTCCTTTAAGGTAAATATAATAATTTTATAATTTTAATATTTCAATATATTAATTAAACTTAATTTATATAGGTGCAATATAGAAGATTGTTGGTAAAATTTAAGGTGAATCAATTTATTTTGACATATAATACTGAAAGAATTCCTGAAATATTAATATCAAACATGCAATAGATTGGATTGCAGAAGCTTGGAATAATATTAATCCTAATATTATTTCAAATTATTGAAAAAAAACTGATATTATTTCTTCTTTTCAAATTCCTCAAGAAATAGATAATCCTCAAACTCCTGCTTCTGATAGTACTGTTACTGGAGAAATGATTCCATTTCAACAACATAATTAGAAGAAATGAAAGAATTGATTAATCAAATACCATATAATCATGAAGATATTCTTAATATAAATGATTATATTGTAATTAATGACTCATTTGAAAATTTAGATATTACAAATGAGTATATTATAGATTTTGTTCAACAAAAAAAAGGTCAAATCTGATTCAGTGATAAAAAATATTGACAGTCTTATTAATTTTATTGAACACGATTCTGAATTAGATTTGGATAGTAATTATATAGAAATGCTCAATTTTTTACAGCAAAAAATTTTACAAAAATACAAGAATTAGTTTTTTTATTTAAAATATTATATCATATTATATTACATGTATACTTATTTATATAAATCAAATAAAAATTATTTACATAAATTGCAAATATAATTCTTAGAAAATAATAAAATTATTTTATAATTTATTTATAATCATAGCTACATATAAAATATTTTATTTTACTATATAAATATACTTTTATTAACTAAGTAAATACATTACTAATATTATTTTCTATATTTTGAGAAATTTTAACTAAATTTAAATAGAAATTTTTGTTTAATTATAAATTTAATTTTTTATTAATATCTATATATATTATTATAAATTTTTATTAAAATTTAATAAAAAACTTACTATAGATAGAATTAATTGTAATGATTATATTTACTTAATTAACTAAAATTAATTTACTTAATAAAATAAAAAGATTTCTAAGAAACAATGATTATAAATTAATGATAATAATTTCTAAATTTAATCATTTATTAATAACAATTATATTTTACTGAGTAGATTTTTAAGTATTTGATAGAAATTAATGAAATTTAATATACATGTAAATAAAGATATAATACACAATATTACTTAATAGAATATTATATATTAAAGCATTAGTTTTAGTAATATATTATATATTATAATTAAACTCAAAAATTAAAAAATTTTCATATAAATGTAAAGCTTAAATGTTAATAATAAAAGTCTAATGTAGTGTAATGAAAATTTCAAGGTATATAGAATTCATTGTGTAGTTCACCTTTAATTACTATGTAAAAGATGATATAATTAATAGAATAAAAAGTTTATTATGTAAAAACTTTTTACATTTAAAAAAAGTTTTGAATTTTTCAAAATCCTCTCATGTATCAAAGTTTTCTTTTATTGAGTAAACAGGGACCCAGAAAATTTTGATGATCATAACTATTTTCAATTAACGCATTGATCATTAACTAATATAGACTATTGTGCACAGTTTCTTTTATCGAGAGTTGATCGTATATATATTTAACTCGTAATTATACCATGATAGTTTATCTTTATTGAGAAATTAAAACAAAATCTACAATAGTTTATAGATTTTCATAATGTGACCAACTCATCTTTATATATAAGTACTCTAAATCAAATTTTGGGAACAATATTATATTTTTCTAATAGATTAATTATAACTTCTATCTATCAGGATCATTGCCAATAGTTTGTCACTGTTAACTGAGCTGAAAACCAATGAATTGTTAAGTTAAAAAGGAGAAAAGAGAAAAATAATTTGAGAAAAGAAATAATTCAAGGCCCATTAAAAAAGTTCAAAAATAAAAACATCATACATTACTGTGTTTCTAAAACTTCTTGTTGAATATCATATAAATCAATAACGAAATTATTGGCGGTGATTGAGGGAGGGACTGCTACGGTATACCCAATAACATTTGGAGTTCCTGCAACAATTGGTGGGTCCCAGAAAACATCTGACACTGGGATATTGACTTGGTAGGCAGGAATGTTCGGACCTGTGCAACCCGTAGGGTCATTACTATTACATTGTAGAGTACCGAAGTCCCACTATAATATTGTGAAAAATACACTTTAAGCCTTGAACATTAAATCACAAGAAATACTGAAAGTAGATCAATCCTACTTCTTGGACAGATACTCCTGTTAGTCCTGCTACTGGTGTGCTGCCTGGTGGTGCTGGTGTTTGACGCGTCCACAGCCTGGCCTAATATTAAAAAAAACTCTTAGAACGAAACTATATAATAACGAAACGGGGTAGTTAGACATACATACCGTCATTGACCGATGAACTAGTCTATTTACAGCTCTTATTCTATGAAGTTTAATGCCAAATACGCAACGCACATATTGTTCATGCATCCAATTCGTGCTTTTTTCATTCCAAAGAGTGGTGATTTGAGCTGAGGCTACTTCACAGAATATTCTCCCATGAGGATGTCCCTATGTGGACATATAATATTAAGAAAATAATTCTAAGTAAAGATGATAATAATACAAATTCAATGTACTTTTACGTCACTGGGGGGAGGCCCAGGATGCTGAAGAGTAGGTTTCGGAACATGTGCCACATTTGGATAGATTGTAATGTCTGATGCTGTTTTTTTCCCGATAGTAGTTGGATCATAATGAACTGTAGGAGAAACGTGGATTATTATTATAAGTCAAAGATCAAGCAGACTAAATGGAAATCTCTTACATGGTTGGCCTGCAACCCTTATCGGACCACGTATTACACCATTGTTTGGTCTATCAAAACATTTAAAAAGTAATGATACAACAGCTTCATGATCTAGGTTGGCCATATCAATGATGTAAACATTTCCGCTATCCCAATGAAATTTGTATCCGCTTGATTCGTTGCGGTCAAGAAAAGTATTATAGTCTTTCACTGAAACGTTCTTTCCAATCTGAAATGGCAAACTGAAAACCAAAAGTCAACATTGAGCAGATCTTAAGGAAATCTTTGGGGGCGCACTCACTTTCCTTCTTCTAAGGAAATTTTTGGCAGTTCGGGATAATTATGGACTATTTTGTCAATTTTTTTTCGAATTTTATTTACTTTCTTTACTGATGATTTCCAACCAGAGTTTGAAGAGCTTGAAGTAGACATTTTGAGTTTCGTAGTGAAAATAATTGATTATCATAAAAAAAGCGTCGGGTCATGTGTTTTTGGCCAATCACTGACTAATTCATATGATGCCATGATGACGAAAAGGGAGCATTATTTTGATCTCACTTTTGGGTAAGACCAGGTTCTTTAGGTTATGTAAAAATTTTTATCATAATCCCGTCCATTAACCCAGTATTGCGAAACAAGCTCTACCAGTGAAACAAGCTGTACACTCCCATGCATTCATGTACCGATCACGGTTGATAAAAATAAAGATATTTGGCCCTAGGGGGGACTCTACGAATCCTATGAATCAATGACCCATATCACGGTTGATTAAAAATGCGATGCTGGGATCATGAGTTATATGTATTCTATCGGGTATAGGAAGCTTCGATGATGTAATTATGATATAGTTGCGATTATTTTTTTTCTTGGCATTTTTCCGAGACATTATGTCTCGCAAAATTTAATCACGTGAATTTAACTTTGTACCTTACACAATTTGAATGAATGCGCCTTTTATATAAAGTAATGTCGAACACCCAATCCAAAATCGATTCATTGAAAGAATTAAATTCAAGGCTTTTGGCCGAGATTTCTGAACTTAGGGAGAAGAATGCTATACTCTTGGCTGAGAATATCGAGGTTGAAGCTGATAATGTAAAGTTGAAGCAAGCTTTAGAAAAGTATGAAGTGAGATTCATAAATCTGGAACAGAGAGATAAA